CCTCTTTCTAATTTTTTCTCATCTGAGTGTAGTTTAAACATATTGGATAATTTGTATAGTTTTACATTGATGCCTTTCTTGTACAATTTATTTTGGTTGCCAACCTTTTTCAGGGGTTTAGTTACGATTTATAAGAGTCGGTGCTAAAGAAGCTTTGGTTTGGGGTTGGCAGATTCATATTAAGGAATTGCTTCAATTCAAGGTTATTCCTTCTATTCCTTCACTACATCTTACAATTTTCGTGCTTAAGTTTTGTTCTGCTTGACTACACCCTGGAGAATATCATAACTGAATCTCTATGCTGATATGATTTTACTTTCTCAGATTTTGCCTCTTACTATTTAATCACTCTAATTCGTTGAATATGACGGTCTGAAACAATTAATCTCATGTTTGTATCTCTTGGTCAGCTGCTTGTATCTAACAGTTTGGATTTCATATGTATAGAAGTTAGCTTTACTCTCTTCATTAGCTATCATTAGTGACATTTTATTACTCCTACTTTCATTAAAATGAAAAGAAAAAGGAATGTAAATAAACCCTTTAGTTTAGTAGATGAGTGGCTCGATGAATGTTACAACGCTGAGGTTTCATTAAAAAGGAACGCAAATAGCTCTCATACAATAGAACAATCTGAAGAGCTATCAACAAACCTCCCATTTTCTCAGGCTCATCCTGCTAATCCAATCCATATGCATTCTGATACTACATATGTCAATATTCAGACCTCAGGAAATAACGCTCATCTAATTCGTCCCACCTTCCACTTTATGACAGACCCAAATAGTAACATCATTAGGAAGGATCATGAGAATTATACTAATGAAGTTGTCCCTGTTTCTAAACATTTATCCTCTTCCAATGTCGCATCTATGCATGGATTAGATAGTTCTCATTTAAGGACCTTAAATCAATCAAATCATAACCAGCTCCTATTAACCTCTAATATTGACGAGGTTTATGCTCACTCTCACAGTTCGCCTTCCATCAATTTTACATGTATCCCTGAAATCCATACTTCTCATATCAAGAACTGCCCTCAACCTAATGATATTGATCTTAGATCAAGCTCAAATAGAACATCTTCTTATCAAGACAGCTTTAATGAGAACTATAATCTCACAGTCACTCGACTTCGTGGTATAAGTGGAACAGCAAATGTTTCCACTTCTCAACCAACTTCCTCAGTACTACCTCTCTCTGCTCTTCTTTCTCATCCTTTTGCATATGATCTTGAAGAAAAACGCTTCAAGAAAAAGAAATATAGAAGACAAGCATACATAAAGTGGAAATCTAAGAAATTACGTAGACATGGTTGCACTAAAATCCAACATGTACCAGCTCTGAGATTGGAAAGGATTGAGAATTGCACAGCTGCTACCAACTCTGCATTACAATCCGATGTACAATCACTAACCCAAAAAGGTAATGAATTCTCTATCTGAGATTTGTCTATTTCCACTTTCTTTGATAAATTTTTTTATACAAAAAAAGGTTTAAAACACCTTTTCAAACCATCTTTTCTAAATTCATAAAAACTTTCAGACCATCTTTAATACATTCAATATGAAATAAACACTATCAATAATTCTTCTGAAAAATCATTGATTCGATCATCAAAGAAATCCTCCAATAATAACCATTCAGCTTTATACTCACTTCCCTTCAATTTTAGGATACAAAAATTTGCAAGATTTTAGAATTACTAATCAATGAATGCAAATCACCTTATAGGTAAGACGCGTCCGAGTGGAAGAGATTTGCTAAGGTTCATACCTGATTACCCTGATAGGTTACCATTGGAGCCGCAGTGTCAGCATTGCGGAGCAAAGAAATTCTATTCTGAGACAATGAATTTCTGTTGTTCCAGCGGTGAAGTAGTTCTCTCTCAAAATAAACTCCCTAATGTTCTAAAAGAGCTCTTAACTTCAACTTCAGAAGAAGCAAAAACCTTTAGAACTATGATTAGAACTTATAACAACCACTTTGGTGTCACCTCTTTTGGTGTTAAATATGACAAGAAACTCTGTAGAAGAAATAAAGGAATCTATACATTTAGAATTCAAGGGCAAATTTATCATTTTTTAAACAACTTAAACTCAGCCAATGATCATGGCCAAAACCTTCAATTATATTTTCATCATCCTGAAATTGAGTTAGCCAATCGAATAGCATCTTGCCCCAGGTTATCAGAAACTTTAGTTAAGAAACTCATGTGCGTGTTGGAAAACAATCCATACGCTAAATTTTTTCGAACTTTAAGTGGAGTGCCTAATCTTGATAATTATCACATTGTCCTAAAGAGCATTCCTGGTCTAGACCAGAGAGTCTATAATAAACCTACAAGCTCACAAGTAGCAGCTTTGTGGATTGAAGGTGAAGACAATAGTCAAACAGGAAAGCGAGACATTAGAGTGCACACTCATAGTGGGACCTCAAAAAATATTCAATATTATTATGGATGTTATGATCCACTTCAATACCCACTAATGTTTCCTTTTGGTGATCTAGGATGGCACCAAGGCATTCCGAAAAAGGGAATAAAGCCACAAACTAAGAGATTGAGAAAAAAAAAACTTACAACTGAATCTATTTGCCCCATCAATGTCTCTAATGTAGATGAATTACTTGAGAATGAAGAGGCTGGTAAGTAAATACAAGTTTATTAATCAGCACTCTTTAATGTAAAATTTCACAAAAATATCAACTAATAAAAAATTTTCTTCTCACTTTACACAGTAATGAGTAGCTTTCAAGAAGATCCAGATTTCGTTTCCGTGCGAGAGTATTATGCTTATAAGCTCCAAATAAGGGATAACGATGAATCATTCATCCTCCACTTTGCAAGACTACTACAACAATACGTAGTAGATCAATATGTCAAATTAGAAAGCCAAAGACTTGACTTCTTTAGAAATCAACAAGAGGAAATACGAAAGGAATTTTTACAAGGAATCATTGATGCTGTGACTACAGGTGAAACAGAAGCATCAAAAGTTGGTCAGCGAATCATATTACCACCCTCCTTCATTGGAGGACCAAGGAATATGAGACGCAAATATATGGATGCAATGACTTTGGTCCAAAAATTTGGAAAGCCAGATATCTTTCTGACTATGACATGTAATCCTAATTGGCCAGAAATAAAAGAATATTTAATTCATGGAGAAGAAGCACAAAATAGACCAGATTTACTTGCTAGAGTATTCCACTCAAAACTTGAAGTCTTAAAAGACGAATTACTGAAAAAATGTGTTTTTGGTGAGGTGGCTGCCTATACTTATGTAATTGAATACCAAAAACGAGGAATGCCACATGCTCATTTCTTATTAATATTAAAGTCCAAATATAAATTATATAACGCAGAAGAATACGATAGAATTGTGTGTGCAGAAATTCCACGTAAAAAAATTTATCCTCATCTATATGAGATGGTAGTCAAACACATGCTCCATGGCCCTTGTGGTCCTGCTAATCCATCTAATGCTTGCATGACCAAGAATGGCGTCTGTCGAAATAATTATCCAAAAGATTTTTGTGAAGAGACCATTCAAACAGTAGACGCATATCCTCAATATAGAAGAACAAATAATGGTGTCCAAGTAACAATTAGAGGTACTGTTTTAGACAATAGATGGGTTGTTCCATATAACTCATATCTATTAGCCAAATTTGATTGTCATATGAATGTTGAAATATGTTCAACAATCAAAGCAGTCAAATATATATACAAATATATATGTAAAGGTCACGATAAAACAAGCTTTTGTCTTTCAGCATCTACTTTTGACAATGTCGTAGATGAAATCGAACAATATGTATCAGCAAGATGGATTTCTCCACCTGAAGCTGTATGGAGAATTTTCAGATTTTGCACAAGTGAAATCAAACCTGCAATTATCCATTTACAGTTACATCTTGAAAACTATCAACCGGTAGTCTTCAAGAAGAGAGCTAACCTTCAAAGTGTCGCAAAAAATCCTCATTTCAAGAAAACAATGTTAACAGAATTTTTTCATATGAATAAGACAAATGAAGATGCACAAACATTAAATTGTACATACTCAGAGTTTCCAGACCACTTTGTTTGGAAACCAAGCCAAAGATATTGGAAACTCAGAGAAAGAGGAGACTCTGTTGGACGAATAATGACTGCACATCCAACAGAAGGTGAGAGATACTACCTTAGACTCCTCCTTTCAAAAGTTCGATGTCCCACTTCATTCAAGGACTTGCGAACTTACAATGGCGTTACAGTAGATACATTTAGGGAAGCAGCATTAATTCGAAATTTATTGCAAGATGATAATAGTCAAGAAATCTGTTTACAAGAAGCCTCACATTTTAAGATGCCTTATGAAATGAGAAGGCTTTTCGCTACACTCTTAGTTTACTCTTGCCCAAATAATCCAAAACAACTATGGGAAAAATTCAAAGTGTCCATGTTGGAGGATCTTGTCCGATGCTCAACATTAACATTTAAAGAAATTGAACATAAAGCTCTACAACAAATAGACGGTTTTCTACAAACAATGGGAAAGAGCATACGTTCTTACAACTTAGTCCCACCTGATTTGTCATATAACAACGTAGAAGACCTGACTAGAGAATTACGAGCAGAAAAAAGCATTCTTGTTACAGCTCATGATTTGAGTGCAATCGACATGCTAAATGAAAAACAAAAACAAGCATTCAAAGTTATTACTGAGAGAATTTATTCAGGAAAAAGCGGCGCTTTCTTTATAGATGGTCCTGGAGGAACAGGGAAAACATTTCTCTATAGGACTTTATTGGCAGATGTGAGGAGCAAAGGCTTTCTTGCACTCGCAACTGCCACTTCAGGAATTGCAGCTTCTATTTTACCTGGTGGTAGGACTGCACATTCTCGATTTAAGATCCCAATTGATATTTCTGAGGGTACAACATGTAGAATTAGCAAACAAACTTCTCTAGCAACAATGATTAGACAAGCAAAGTTAATAATTTGAGATGAAGCACCAATGTCCAAAAAAACAGCAATTGAAGCATTGGATGATTTGTTAAAAGACCTCATGGATTCAACTCAAATTTTTGGGGGAAAAATTGTTGTCCTTGGAGGAGATTTTAGACAAACACTTCCAGTAGTTCGAAAGGGAGCAAAAAGTCAAATGATAAATGCCTGTCTAATCAATTCTCCAATATGGGACAAACTTGAGAAACTAAACTTAAGTGAAAATATGAGAGCAAGATTAGACCCCACATTTACAGAGTTCCTATTAAAGATTGGAGATGGGACAATTCACACAGAAGCTAATGATTTAGTGAAAATTCCACCTTCTATCTTAGTTCCTTATACTAATGAATCTGATGCACTTCAAAAACTGATCCAAATGGTCTATCCTGAAATCACCAATGGATCACAAATCTCATCTCCTTTCTTAAACAAGGCAATACTAACAACGAAAAATCCATTTGTTGATGAGATAAATAATGCTCTCATAGATAGATACCCCGGAGAACCAGTTGAATACTTGAGTTATGATGAGACATTAAATGAAAATCATCAGGCCGAATATATCGACTTGCTGAATACATTGACTCCCAGTGGTTTACCGCCACACAGATTAGTTTTGAAACCAAATGCACCAATAATTCTCTTAAGAAATCTTGATCCAACTGAGGGATTATGCAATGGCACAAGGCTTACAATCAAACTCCTCAGTAAAAACATCATTCATGCTACCATATCATTTGGTGAATTCTCTGGAAAAGATGTATTTATTCATAGAATTCCAATGCAACCACCAGCTGACGACCAATATCCAGTCCCATACAAAAGGATCCAATTTCCAGTTCGCTTGTGCTTTGCAATGACTATTAACAAAGCACAAGGACAGACCTTAGACTTTGTGGGTATATATTTAAAAGAACCTGTGTTTTCCCATGGTCAATTATACGTTGCTCTCTCAAGAGCAAAAACAGCCTCAGCAGTTAGAATACTAATAAAACCAGCCTATTTTTCCCCTCATCAGATGGACAAAACAAAAAATATAGTGTATAAAGAAGTATTTCAGCATACAGAACCACTACAGACAAGTACATTCATGACTCATCTCTCTTACTATTTTTATAGTGTTTTCCTATATATGCAACCCTTTACCAGTTATAATTACTATTTGTCATTCGAAATAATAGAATTCTTACTATATTTCATTCTAATGCAGTTCAAAATGCCTAGACATATCTCAACTGTGCTGGACATTGACAAAGAATCAGACAAATGGACAGTTCTTATTCAAGTAGTTGAGAGGAATCACATTCAGTACACTCGGAAAGCACCACCTAGAAGGATCCAACGATTCATGCTCACTGATGCCCAAGTACTTTACTAACTACTATGTACATTCATCACCTAATATAAATAACTATAGATTAATTCCATTCTTACAATGACTTCTTCAATGTTTTTTCTCCTAGCCTATCCAAGACAAAAATGACTGCATAGCTATATTTACACTTTACTACAAAATAATATTTCATTTCTAAATTACTCATACCCTATCCTTTAGAAATTCTTGCACTTTAACATTTTATGTATTCTATATATTCGAAGATCTGCTTGCATAGGATTACTTAGCAAAAATAGCCTAGATATGATATTTCCAAATTTCAGTTTAGTTGCAAGTTCACTTTTATCTGGACTATTAATTTACACAACACATTCTGGATGTATACATAAATATACAATCAGTACTAACCACTAACAACCACCTATATTAACAAGACTTAATAAATTTATATTTCTAACTTTTAAAAATTTGTATATCTTCAAACTGATCCAAATCAATGTTTAACACCTTCTCAAAATTCAGTCTCAATAGTAGTAAAACAAAAACAAAACATAAACAACAGCTTTCCTTTTTCTCTTCCAACCTGAGATTCATGAAAACATAAAAATTTAGCATTCAAAGTTCAATATACAATGCTATGCTAATAAATCAGACATTCCTATAACACTCTCACTATGTAGCAGAAAATTCATACAAATTGCTTCCTCTTGCTGTCTTTTTTAATTCACCAGAATATTGAACACATTTAAATAACTATAACCACTTTGAATCATCTTCTTGCTGCTCATAATAATTACAAATTCATTTACCTTTATCTCATACATGATCATCAATCATAATCACCAATAAAACATGAACAACAGTTTCTTCCTATTCCCCTCAATTTACAATCCATAAACGTAAGCTTCCACTATACATAGAGGGTCAAAAAAATGTTAACTGTCTATGATTTACTTTAAAAAAATCACAAGTCGTACTTGATTCCTCCTTCCTGATTGCATACTCATTCATCCAGATATCCATATACAAGATACACAATAATGTTACCTTATAGTATACTAACTCAACTACAAACATTACAAACAGGGAACAAAAGTCTCTGCAGCAGCCTATGAAAATTGCATCCGACTGTTCAGAAATCTGTTAGTTCCATACCAGCGATACTACATCTCTGGTGCAACTATTATCAATGCTGTTCCTACATACAAAGTTAGCGAATATCCGTACTCTTGGGTCCTTCATTACTCAACTTTGATTGAGCGCTACCTCGAACCAATTCCTCCAATGCTTCCATGTCCTTTCACCTTTGACAACTTTTCTGATGCACATAAACATGCAGAATCTGATATTACTCTGATAAGTAAGTGTTATATAAAAAACATATCTCTGCAGAATTTTATCCGATTTTACATTCTTAGATACTTTCAAATCTGACTAACTACTTCAAACTATAGGTGTCAAAGCATTGGTCATATATGCCTTCCCTCAAAAAGAAACAACTCCAGATTCAGTCACAAGGGATTTTCTCATTGTAAATGAAGAGTAAGAAATCTCACTTGCCTCTATTATTTGACACATACATTATTATTTAACATCATCCTTTTTATTGAGTCTTTATTGTTTAAAGGAAAAAATTGATGCTTCTCACTTTATGGAATGAGTTCCAAGAGTATGAAGGCAATATCCTTGCAAACACCATTGCAACTGCTCCTATGATCTTTGCTATGAGAGTGAAAGTCTCTACTTTCAACAGTGAGTCCCTTACTCTAAAAATTCTGTATACATTCATTACATATCACTCATATTTGTCACACATAAAAATCTTAATTCTCTGCTTAAACAGGTTTGTCATTAACAACAATAGGACTATCATGCATTCTCATCAATCCACCAGTCCATGACGAATTGCCACTTCGTGAATGGTATAGCATCCATAAAGATGAAGTTAAGATTTTATTGGAAGCAAAAGCATATAAAGATCCAGAATTTCTGCTTCCACCACCAAACCAAGAGCACATCAAGACCATTCATGATGCATTAATCTCATTCGGAACAGTAAGAATGCCTAACTTTTTCCCTAACCAATCAGTTTTATCATTTTACACTTCAACTTCAAAGAAAATGAAATAGTAATACACTAGAGTTCAATTCATTTGCAGCAAAAAACAGCATGGATAGGCGGTACAGTGCAATTATCATTTGGCCAAACTCGCTTTTGGTACACTGCATGCTCAAATTGTTTGAAAACTGTTGAAGCAGATACAGATTGGATCATAAAATGTTCATCATGCAGACAAGAAGCCGAAGTGGAACTAAGGTATTGTTTCTCATCTAGCCTGTTTAAAATTAACTCTTTTATACTATACATTGTACAATAAACTAAAACTCGGACATTGCACATAAGGTGTCGCATTGGAATAACAGTGACCGATCCAACTGCAAGCATTCAATGCTTAATATCTGGAAAAGAAGCTGAAAGACTGATACAATTGACTGCTGCGCAGCTTAAGGATGCAGAGGCACATGTACATCAGCACACCTAACTTTCAAGTTTTCGTTCAACATTTATATACAGAAATACTAATATATAAACACTCACATTGATGCTTATCATTTCAGGGAATAACAATGAACCAAGAACTCTCTGCCATCATGAAAAAGTACAGGTTGATCTGTTTTATCAAAACATATGAGACAACTTTTCAAGGACAACTTCAAAGAAGAAATGCAATCATCAAAGCCTACCCAACAGCTGAAGTCCCCAACATATCATTGGCTCTATTAGATTCACCACCAACTCTCCAAGCTTCAGAAACTGGAACAACATCAAACACCAAGCAAAAACAAGTCATAGAACAACAAACGTTCACACCAACAGCCAAGTTGCTCCTTCAAGAAATAGCCGAATCCACTGCTACTAAAAAAAGCTTCATCACTAAATCAACAACTGCTGCAACAACCAGCCACAAACTGCTTGAAGACACTGCTACCTCAGCTTCACCAAATACCACCCCAATCGACGAAACTGCTGCCAGCCCAACAAAGAAACCAAAACAGGAAGGAAAAGGGAATTGAACACTCCCCAACCCTTACTAAAACCTTTTGATATTGCTAGAGAAGAACTTAGCAGGTCTATCATGCCTAAATTGTAGTGTTAGAATCCATTGCTCCAATATTTTTTGATAGAGCAATGCATTCTAATACTTAGAATTAGTACCTCCTCCCTCACCTGCTAACAACTCCTATTACCAGAACCATAAACCTGTAAAGCCTAGGTTCATGACTTTGCCAAGCTGAAAATGCAGTATTAGAATCCATTGCTCCAATATCTTTTGATAGAGTAGTGCATTCTAATACTCATATGTCATATAAGCTTCTCTAGCAATCAATAATATGTGCAGTACTTCTATACGTTCCAAATGAGCGGTTTACTTTTCATATAAGTTAAAAATTTACATATGTTTCTCCATATATCTACTTTATTGCACTCATTTAATTACAAGTTCAAAGTGTTGGTGCAGAAAAGCCTTTTATTTGGGGTTCACAGATTTGCACTAAGGAATTGCTTCAATTTCAGGTCACTTTCTCCTCTTCCTTGACTACACGCTATAATGTTTGTGCTTAAGTTTTGTTATATTTCATCTATTATTCATAATTTTTTCAGTTGTAGGTTCGTTTGATCTCACTTATTAATTGAACGTATGCTTTATACGATTATGGTCAGGTTGGCTAATCAATAGATTTATATGTACTAGAAGCAAACGAGTATGATCAAGGAAGATCACCTACTTGCTGCAATCAAAGTTGCTGCTTCTATCAGGGGACACAACCTATCAGTAAGCTTTTCTTCACATAATTGGCCTTAAGGTCAACGAAAAGACTGCAGCATCATAGCATTATCTCATCTTACTTCACTTTACCTTAACTTTGTTGGTAAATCCAGGGATCAGGAATTTGATAAAATGAAATTCAATGAGTGAAAATTGAGATGTCCCTTTTTGTGCTATATAAATTCTTATGTTCTAAATTATTGAATTTCGCATATACTGATTATCTATGGTTTACATTTCTAGCTGCATGGTTTTGTAAAGAAAGGGAAATTGCAGGATGCCCTCACTAGCATCGACCTTCTAATCATTCCTGTTCGAGTTCATAGGAAACTAGCAATGACTAAAGATGACCTTTTTAATATCAATCCTCACATTGTTAGGACTCTATGAACGAATTTCAAAGTGCTGTGCGAAAGCTATTATTCGCATGGTGCCATTTGGGGCTGCAATGAACGTCACATCTTGCCATCAAACATTTGGGCTGCAAGGAATTTCAAAGTGTTTGTAAAGTTACGCACTATTGTTCTACGATTCAGTTAATTTTGTTTTGGTGTTGTCTAGATATCTTTATTATCAATATTTGGTAATTCAAAGTCCAACATGCTTGAATTAGCCAAAGATTTGAATTTTTTTTGGTCATAATTCTTCTGCAAGCTGTACAAATTATTGTAAAACTGTGGAATTGTATGTGATCGAGCTGTACAAATTATTGTAAAAATCTGGAATCATACGTGAGTGTGTATCTTTCTGCATGAAAGAAACATTGTGTGCTGTGAGTTAATTAACTTGAGTTTATTGTCTTCTTCATTCATGTTTATTTTTC